AAGGAAATTGGTCGGTAATTGTTGGGGTTAGAAAGATCGCCGCGTTTGGTAATAGGGAAAATCACAGCGTGCTTCCACGGGGTTGAAAAAGAAGGAAATTGAAGAGAAAGACTGAAAAGATGACGTAAAACAGGAGCCAGCTCGGGAGCACACATTTTGAGGACGAAGGGTGGAATATCGTCCGGACCGAGTGGTTTGTTTGCATTTAGGGAGCGCAATGTTTGACGGATTTTCCTAGTGCTGATATGAGTTCTAAAAGGGTTGCCAGTGAAGAACGAAGAAAGTGGAGGTGTAGAAAAATGGGGTAAATTGGAATTGGGGGCAAACTGGGAAGCAAAAACCCCAACTTTCTCGTTTGGTTGACATACAAGATCACCAGAGGAATTGCAGACACGGGGGAAATTGGAAGGGTAAAAATTACGGCAAATTGCTTTGGCAAGGGACCAAAATGTTCGGCTACCGGTGGTGGACGAGACCAAGTTTTTCGGCGAACGAAGCGTTCTTTTGTTCTCTGAATGGTCGTCGAGCATCTGTTCCTAGCTTGCACGAAGCGATAGTGGGAGAGGAGGGGGGAGGGTGTGGGTAAGCGGCGGCAGCGACGGAAAGCTGAAAGTTTTAGGCATACAGCACGGTCACATGCATGGTAAAAGCATTCAGGGGATTTGGGTTTGCCGGATTTCGAAAAGTGTGGAATAAAAAGGTGCAATGGTCGAAGAACAACGTGGGTGAAGTTGTAAACGGATTTAGAAACATCCGAAGAGAAACAGCAATCGTTCCAGGGATAAGCAACTAGGAAATCACGGAAACCGTCCCAGTCGGCTGAGTTGTAGTTCCAGAAAGTGTGTCGGGAGGTGGGTGATGGCTCGGAGTTTGAAAACCTAATAGAACAAGAAACAGTACAGTGATCTGATGAGCCAAGAGAATTAGGTCGAAGGTGTAGGCACGATCGCCAGCTCGACCAAGGATACGAGTGGGGAGGTCAACTAGTTGGCTCAAGTTGTTGTCCAAAGCGAAGTGTTTGGCTTGGTGCCCCAAAGGAGAAATGGCAGATGAATGTGTCCACCAGTCCTGATCGTGAACGTTGAAATCTCCCAAGATGGTAACATGGCAGTTAGGATCGGTTGCAAACAAATGTTCAATCTTCGAAGATAGAAAATCAGAGATGGAAGAGTCGCCGCTATAACGGGAACAATAAAAAACACAAAAGTAATGATTAAAGAAAGGAAGTCGGAGTTTCAGCCACAACGGCTGAAATTCACGTTTGGAAAATCAAGATTTGGGATCATGGAGGCGGCGACTGATTGATGAATAAAGGCGCAGACACCAGCTTTGGTTAGAAAGAAGGAATGGAGACTGTAGTTAGGAAATTAAAGTTTTGTGTTGTCTGACGAGGGGGAGGTTTGTGTTTCGGTCAAAAAAAGGGCGTGCGGAGCAAAAAAAATGGAGAAAATAGTGTACAGAATCAATATTGCGGTTCAGTCCGCGAATGTTGGTTCAGGTGATGACTGCGTGTTTACGGTATGTTTGCCTAGAGCGAGCAAGAGTACGTGGTCGTTTGTGAATTTTTATTGTCATGTTTACGTTGTGAGGAAACCGGCAACCAGGATCCTAAAACTTCGAGTAGCGGACCACCTAAGGCTTCAATAAATCAGGCGTGGTAGCGAGCCGAGCGACGGCAGAGCCGCCTACCACCGCCAACTTCGTCTTGGACGAAACACTACAGAGCGCACTATGTGCTTTTTAAAGCGTAGGCATTCCATGGTTAGTTGAAGAAGAGCTGTGTTCGAGTGTATGGAATACGCGCAAATCGCTCTTGGTAAATTTATAGGTGTTATTACGCCATTCAGTGCGATCTTTGCACCTTCAAAGTGCAACTTGATGCTCCTAGGCTGTGTGTTGCCTAGTCCCGCTTTGAGTATGAGTGCCCTGGAATTAGTTTTGGTGGATTCATTTTCCCGCTTAGATCGTTGCAAGACCGATAACAGTAGTGCGTTCGGTAGATAAACGCCCACAATTCCAAGGCTCGATCAGCGTACGCAGGGCTGAAACACCTTTTGCGTGGATACAACGTTTCACGGGAGTTGAAAGGTCGTGTATATTGTACTACCGTTCGTTCAGTTCTACTTTATGGTTGTGAGACCTTGAATTTGCGAGTACAAGATATCCATGGTCTAGAAATTTTTGATTATCGATCTCTACGTAGTTTGACGCACGTGGCATGAAGCGAACCGGTTATTGATCTGGAATATTATCTGGGATGCGTTTTCTAGGACATCGATTTCAGATTAGTAAGTATCACTGGCTAGAGCACGTTCAGCTTATGCCCAGCTGTCGTCCACCGGACCGCTTTTGCGGCCTCACATTGCAGGAAATCGAATGGAGGTCAGCAGATGACGTGAGGCCACGAAACGAAGAAATGCACCCGACGATCAGAAAGAATACGTGTCTCTCGCCTCCCTTGTTGGGGTTCAAAAGACTGCAACTGGTGGGTTGGAGACCCTCAGGGGTCTGGCAACTAACCGTCATCCGTGTCGTTTTTGTTGTCATTTGTTATCATGCCAAAACAGTTCAACATTTATCTATGATCAGTTAGGCTGTTTCCTCGCTGTGGCAACCGTAGAACTTCTTTTTCTTTGCTTCCCAATTTTTAGGCACCGATCCGTATTCATCTTGTACTTTCTAAATTGTGTACATAGTGAACTAGGTAACAATCGGCGAACGTCGCTTTATTGTATTTCGTTGTATGGTAACGGTGATAGACGACTTTTTGGACCTGATTAGTTCTCAAAATCGTATATATTCGAACGGTCTGCTGAGCTGTTCTCTGATCACATGCTTAGGGTGTTTATGTTATAATCCTCAGTCGGGTCCGTGGTTTCGCGCTGCTTATGGGACCCATCCAACGCTTTAGTGGCTGTCTTCACGACGAAATTCACCATATGACGAAAGCAAATCATCCACCACTCTGTCCATTGGCACTGATTAGCAGCAGGGGACCTGGCCCTTGCCCAGCTAACGCGAGCGAAAAACCACACCTTGTTTGCAACCGTGGGTCTTAGGCAGGCCCGGGGAACTTCGACTGTGCATATATATATATATATATATATATATATATATATAGGCTTGAGATTGCCTTCAGTGAGGAGATGTGTTCCCTTAGACAGTGTATTCTTTCTTAAATGCACAATTTATGTTTAATAACACACCCCATCGCCAAATTGATGGTGTTCCTATGGGTTGATCCCGTGGACCTGTTCTTGTCGATATGTTCAGAGTCAGGTTGGAGACGTGTTTCTTATGCACGGCTATTAGTTGTTCTTAAAAATATCACCGCTTTGTAGATGATATCGTTGGCGTGACTCAAAGGAACTCTAATCTTGCCCATGTTGAGTCAGGATTCAACACTGTATATTCGTCAATTAGGTTCACAAATGATGATGATTGGCCCACACTCTGCGATGTTCATCTGACTTAACGCCTCGATCGCTCTATTGAGACAAAGATATAGATAATAACAACGTGGAGTGGATAGTACACATCTTTTCATAGTTTCGTCCCACTCAATGAAAAACGTAAACTCATACACTGTCTTCTACAGAGAGTAAGACGCCTCTGTTCAGAAGGTTCTTTGAAGAATGGACTTGAACTACTTAGGAGATCCTTGCGGGAAAATGACCGTCTGTGAATCTTATCAACCTTAATTGGGCTAAACAGAATAAGCCAACAAAAATACCAAAGGTGGAGAAGAAAGTTCGTTTTATATAATTTACATTTAAAGGTGTTGTCACATCTGACATGATCAGTAGAGCTTTACTCGCTGCAGTGAATTCCGCCTTTACTACCGTTCAGCTAAGATGCGTGTTCTCTACATCAAACATCCGGTGGTGCCCATGTTGAACTCATCACTGATTGTCTACCAATTGAAGCGCACCTGTGGTGTGACTTGTGTAGGACAGTGATCTGAATGTACCAAAAATCATAATCCACTCTGACTAACACAGGGTGGGAGTGGAGCTGTGTCAGGTTCGATCGTTGCTCAGTCAGTTGGCAGTACTGACAGTCATTTATCGAGTTTCATCACTCCCCGCGAGAGCAATACGGTTTCGGACGTTAGCGACCGCAAAGGCGATTACTATCCAATTTATAAAACACAAAAATCGCTCCCCTGACCAAGGGAAGTGAAAATCGCTTGTTCACCTGACCATACTGTAAAGTAGCGAATTTCGGTTACGTATTCCAAACGGCTTATCAAATTGAGTTCTCTTTGGTTCACTACCACACACACATGGCTCATCCACTTATCTGTTTGACCTTACTGAAATCGTTGCATATGAATGTGATTGTAAAGGCTTGGAACGGAATTCACCGGAAGCGTATACTCTCACCCACGCTGTGTTCTTATTCAAATTCTTGTTCAGTCTAAGGTTGATCTGGGGTAGAATTTTTTCGCTCGATCGATGTACACTGAATCATGGAAAAACTGCAATTATGATCATGCCTGTCACTGTTCCCGTGGTTGATTTTCGACCCAAACGATGGCTGTCTATTTTCATCGGACTTTCCGTGTGGATGTCTCAACAGAGTTTACAACTCGTACTCTGCTCGATGACCATCGTCTCCGGTTTTTACTTGATTTCAGTCATCTGAATCTGTTCAACCTGGTATGGCATACTGTTCACTTTATTTAAACACTCTTGGTACATGTGGTTTTTTTACTTACGACCGATAATTGGCTAATACAAAAGCTAGGATAAGTTTTTACCTCAGGTAACGTTTTGCCAATTTCTGAATCAAAACAATTCCATCAGATTTCGATTAGTGCACTCGTTGGTCGATTCTCACGCTGTTCGTAATTTTTCAGTGCTAATGGTCGCGCGAATTTCGCTTATTCTTCTAGATTTCTCACCATAGTAGCCATTGGTAGTTTTTTTCATCGTGTTAGTTTTATTCATTTATTTTTGGATAATTTTTTCTATTTCTCTTTTCTCGACTTTTGTCAGAATATGTGACTGTTCGAATTCCTTTGGAAAATCCTATGCGAATTCCTTTGGTGTTCAGCAATCTACATCTCCTGTGGTCATTCGGCCCGCAGCTGTCGAACACACGCGATCCCGCACCGAGTGATCCGTGTAGTCCGATCACGAACGAGACTCCATTCGATCTGACCCACCCGACACGCCACATTGTTGCGAACGAGGTCATACCTGAGCTCATCATGTTACCGAACGAGAGCAAAGCCGTACGTGAACTCACGTCTTGACTATGTTCTCATCGATATACAATTTTAGAACAGTACCCTCTATGACTGTTTGCGGCGACATTCTCAGTGTTTTTACCTTAAATTCCGTTCCAACATCTCGTGTATCTTTCTGTCTCTCATCATCTTCTCTCGTCCGCGCTTTCAGCTGGATATTAGTGTGCTGCCCAGGCAGTTGGGTCGACTTGAAATCCACGGACTTTGTTTCGACTGGAATTATCCTTCGGCTCAGTACTCCGGTTCGCAAAGCCAGACTATGGTGTTTTCTGATGGTACCTTCCTGGTTGACCAACAGCAACAGCAGCA